AACTCTTGAGATCTTCCCCTCTTTAGACAGCAGTGACTAGCAACAGGAAAAACGCAGGAACTAGCAAGCGGCTGCCAGTTTGCTTGTCAAATGGCAGCACTGATGAACTGGCTGTAAAGTTGTTGTGTTTGTTCCTGTCATTTGGGAGCAGCAAGAGAACTCTTTTGAAGTAGCGATTAAGTATTTTAAGTATTGAGGAGGAGGATTTTAAGTAAAGGATGTAGTGCCTGATCAGGTTCGTGCGCCGAGCTGAAAGCTCTGCTTCTCAGTCGTCTTGCTGTACAGGCTTGTCAGCAGATTCAGTATTTGAAATGGTGGCAGTTATAATGCTTTCACAAGCGAGAGGACCTCTGTACACTTAGGGTCCTCAGATAAGTGGCAGTGGGAGACAGAAGAGCGCGGGGGATTGCACACACCACAAAAATCTTGGCCCTTAGCCTGATGCTTTAAAACAAACGTGTACACTTGCCAAAGAGGTTCCTTCAGAGTTGTATGCACGAGACGCCCTCAGAAAAAGGATGCTATAAATTAAGGGAAAGGACAGAATCCCAGGTATGCTGGGAGAAGGGGGGAAATGCCCTGTGTACGTTGTAGCTGTGTGTGAATTCAGGCCTTGCTGTAGCAGGAACATCTGTAGCCTCATTTCAGTGGAGGTTAGGAACCACACAACGCAGTAATTTCCAAGAATTTCTACCCTGCACCTAAGCATGTGTCCTGCATCTGCAAAGAAACAGTACGTATTACCGTTTTCAGCATTGCATGGTGTCTAGAGTGATTTCTGTGGACCTTTACCAGGCATTTGGGAAAACGTGGGTGGGTGGTGGAGAGATGCAGAGAAGTTTCTCTGTAGTAAGCTGTGGTCGTAAGACCTGTAGCTAGTGAAGTCATATTTGAGGGCCTCTTACAGCCTGAAGAGCATAAAAATAAGTTCTGAGAGTTTTTACAACCTCTAAGTAGGTGGAGACATCCCACTGTGTTCCTGCATAAGGGTAAATTGTAGTCATTTATGTCTCTGGATCAGCCAAACCTAAATATGTTTTTCTTTGCATGCACTTTCTAGTTCTTATTTTGTCAGCATCCAAGATTGTCTACTTGGGGTATGTAAGATGGACAGTTTGGGTTTTTAAATTACACTGTCATTTACAGACACTTTGTTTTCTTTCTAGAAAGCACCATGATGACTCCGTTGCGGCTTGGTGCCTCCACTTTGTTGTCATGTGGGTGTATGGTACGTCAAGTCACAGAATAATGAGGAATGCTGTGCAAATTCCTTACAACATGCATAATAGCAAAGAGCTGAAACTTAAACAGTACCCTTAAGTACTTGTCCAGTCTCCGTTAGGGTTTTGTAGTTCTCCTTTAAAGAATAATTTTTCCAACCTTTTAACTTGCTTGAGAGTTCTAACAGAAACTGTTCTTTCCTGAGGCAGGGGAAAATGGTTTAAAAGACTATAAAAATGTCTTTCAGACTGTGGAAATGTTTGGAATAAAGAGTCTGTTTACTTTCTAAAAATGGATGCAAAGTACAAAACGAGAGCTCAATATATAAACACAAAGAATTAAGAAACAACACATCTGGCATTTGTCCAGAAAGCAATTAACAGCAAAGGCACTTTGAAAAGAAAGTTCCTCAAAATACTGAACTTCCACCACGTGTAAGTACTACCAATGCAAAACAATACATGTTAAGAAGCACATGCAGCTGTATTGTGTTAAGGCTCTTGTCCAAAACAGCAGTTTAGAATGAAGAGATTGCTCTGAATCCCCTTGGACCTACTTTATATTCCTAAAGAATGGCACTTGTTTGCACTGCAGAGGGGGCGAGCTTGGGCGCACCTTTTCCCAGGGAGCACACCGTTCTCCAGTAGCCCTGCCTTCCTGAGAAGGACAGCCAGCAGATGAGCTGGAAGGCTGTGGTTGTGTACTCCAAGAGGTTCCCAGGCCGCAGTAATCGGGGGCGAGGGACCACGGCATGCGAATTTGTCTTGTAGGGTAGGTGTAGCCAACACGTGGCAGCTTTCTAGGCAACTTTCGCAAATGGGTGTCCTGTATGTGAAGAGAGGAAACCCTACCATTTGTCTCCCCTCTGTAATGATTTGGGAAGGCAAGATTAACTGGCTGTAAGGATGTAAAAAAAAATGCAACTGTCTTCCAGCCTTATGGGTATTTAAAATCCCAGTGTCATCTCTTGTTAGGGTATTGGGACAAAGCTCTCTTCATTACACTGCGTTTACCACAGGGCAAAGAACACTTGAGTGAAAAAGTGTAACAAATGCCACGTGCCCCAAGGTGGCAGAGTGAGGACCTCCCTGTGGTCACAGCCACTTGTGTTTAAATCCTCAGTTCCTGTTGTGGTGGGCAGGCTGTGCAGTGCTGGAGCCTTTCCCCCTTCCCCAGGGGCTAGAGCTGCCCCTTGCTGGTGGGATGTAGAGAAGTATTGCCAGGGAGAGTTTCTAAGCGCGTGCCCGGGTGACTCTCTCAGGGCCTGAGTTCTTGGTGGCGCAGGCCCTGTTGAGCTCGCTCTGTGAGCACTCTTGTGGGTACATCCTACCTGCTGGGCCACTTCTGCCTTTTATGAGCTACCAGCTCTATGGGGACAGGACTGGTCTGACAATAAACGTGAATGGAAATGTGGGAAAGAAATGGTTTTGTCTGCAGTTTTTGTCTGGTGACTCAAGAGGGAGGAGAGGAGGCAACGTCTACCTTTAGGCATCAATTCCTCTGTGTTGTGGAGCCTTGACACACTGGAGTTGCCTGTCATTTCTCCCGATGCCTGCAGCCATGTATGGTGTTTGGTGGGTCTCCCCACCCCGAGTCACAGCCAGCCACTGGTGTGCAAGCTGCTCCACTCAGCAGCCAGGTGCACGCATGCTGTCAGTACAGCTCACAGATCCACAGGCTCCCAGCTCTCCGCTCTGTCCCTGCAATGCCCGTATGGTTCTGCACAGCCTCGTGCTACTGCTGAAGGATGGAGTCTTGCGGGACTCGCCCACCCCCATGCTGCACCTCCCTGGCAGGGCTCATGCGATGTGCACGTGCTGGAGGACGGTGAGGTGCATGGGCCTACACGAATCGTTGGGGAGGCCAGCCTGCTTCTCCAGGGTAGGCTCTATGGTTCCTGGAGGCAGTGATCCACACAGCCCAGCCAGCTGTGTGGGGGCTCTTGCTTGCTGGATCCTTGCTGGGACAGACCTCCACACCTCTGCAGTCTGGTCCCAGGGTGCTCAGCTCCTCTCCGCTTAGCCACCAGCTACACCTGGAGCAGGAACACTGTGAGAAGGGCCTTCTGCCACGTCCCACGGGCCCAGCCTTCCCCACTGCTCTCATCTGCAGAGTGCAGAATAACCTTCTTCATCTTTTGTCCTCCCTCATCC